AAAAAAAAAAAAAAAAAAATAGATTGTCCAGCGTAGACTCGACGAGTAACGAAGTAAATTGTGAACGATATAGATGGTATCTGGTGGAGCATTGACTGGGGGTGGTGGTGGTGGAATGATGGGGGGTGGTGATAGCTCCGAGTCCCACGACACGGACGTCCAAGACGAGACGGACAGCCCGCCAGCCCTTCGCAGGCGAGTCGTCGACAAATCACGACCCCAGTCCGAGCTCATCAACCAGATACTGATCGACAAGTTTAAGGTAAAGACTATCGCTCTTTGCCCCTCCTCTCCCCGTTTGTCCTGCTAAATGCAATTTTCGTGCTAATCATTAACAACCACCAATCGCACGAGAAGTTCTTCGTCGTTGCTGTATCTGTGCTTAACGTCATCGACTAAATGGGAGCATCACAAACTGGGAGAGTGTTTTGTGCATACTTTCGTGCATAAAATCCAGACAGGAATGGAGAGAAACGACGTGACACTATTGCGATTTCGCGGTGACTCTGTGCGATTATAACAGGATTACTATGGAATTGTAGTTTTGATGATGTAATACACAGAAACGCGTAATCCTGCTATACGAGAAACGATACCAATGAAATTGTGCCAAATTGTGTCAAATAGGCCGGCGCCAACGTCACTGAAACTACGCGACATTGTTTGTATCTATAGATAGATTTACATTTTCATTGGTGGAATTGTGGTAATCGAATTTCAGTATGTGTCAGAAATGTAACTCAACCAAATCATAAAACGTCAGAGCGCAATGAGTATCGTTCACCTGTGTTCGGTTCAAAAACAGATTCGATAATTTTTTTTTTGTTATTTTCATTTACAACCTTTCAAATACAAAACACTCTCTCTCTCTCTCTCTCTCTCTCTCTCTCTCTATGTTACAACATTGTCTAACTGTGAACAATTGATTCCAAAAGAAACTAACAACTGTGTGGATGTGATAGCAAGGAACGAGAATTCCGAAGACAAACGCTTCTGCTTTCGATGAACGAAATGTGATCCATTTGTCATGGATGTTTGCATATATGTATATATACATATATACATGTTTTTATCGCTTTTATTTTATGTGCAATTTTAATTCACGTGTCATACCATCTTTATTGACGTCTATCCTCCACTTCCCTGGCCGGTTATAATAATCATTGTTGAGAAAGTGGCACATTCGTAATCATTATCGCTCGACATGTATGACTGTTTCCTTCGACACAATAATTCACATTACTCACGTTCGTATACAGTTTAACCACGCTCGTACAGATCAGCGACAGTCGCTGATACGCGACTACATCTACGCGAATATATCGCGGTGGCCAGAATACGAGAGGAAGCGCGCTCCTAGTTGATATCGAGCCGAGTACCCGGCCGAATATACGATTTATGGAATCGCGGATGAAAGTCGAGTCACCGCTTGT